TGCATTTATCAGGACTTTAAAATGACCCACAACTTCATGCCCAAGCGTATACCACTAACTGGCAGTATGCCTTCTCTGGCCTTTGAATGGGTCATTTATATTATCATAATATATTTTCCGTAGTGTCTTCATTTACTCCACAACCAGGGTTGATTGCCCAGCAGCTGCATCACATATTGGTGTAAATCACTAATTTCTGTTATTGGATGACCTACTCAATAAAAGCGAAACACAGGAAACATATGGCGGAGAAAAAAGAGAGAAAGAGGAGAGCCGTCAGCAGCAGAATTTCAGGGCTGAGGGGGTTGTTCCGTTGAGTTTGTCTCTTTTTTTATATATATATAATTTATTTATCTTTTTTTAGAAAATTGCAGCTTAATTGAACACTGGGTGTATTACAACTTCAGAATTACATTCGTATAGACTGAGATGTAAAGAACTGTGAACTGTCAACATTGATAAGGTATAACTAAGAGTGGTTCAGACCAACCTTACGAAAGTATGACTTACAGAAGGTATACTTAACTAAGAACATTTCAGGACACACATATTAACGTTAAGGTACAGCTTAAGGGATAACTTAAGAACGAAGTAGCGTTAAGAAGGTTTCTGGAAATGCAGCCCTGATCTTCATTTTTTTAAGACACTGCAAAGGAGTTAAATTTACAGATTGATGCGGTGAATACTCAGTGTTATTTGTGTAGCATGTATGACGTCCTGTCTCATGCAACATCCTTTTATTGGTCCTCACAGGGGTGGTGTGTACACTCCAGGGTCAGCGTTTGCAAGAACCACCCTAATCGACCGTCTGAACAAACACGGAATCCAGTTCTCACTGAAGAAGGGACAATAGACATGAGTACTCTCTCAGATTCAATCAGCCTAGTTGATCTCTTTTGTTATAGAAATTAAATCTAGAAATGTTGTATAGCAAAAAAAATTGTTGTATGTCTGTACTTTGTGATTCATTAACCCTCAAGCATCCTTCGGGACAAATTTGGGGAAAATAATTGTCCATTGTCCAAATTTGGGCAAAATAATTATTTAAAAAAAAAAAATTGTTTCCTTAATCTGAACGGTACAAGACTTGACTACTTTTCCTAAGTTTGCCAGCTAAACACACATACAAAAAAAATCGACTTGGTTCAGCAAAGTTAAGTGGTTGAAAGAAAATAAACCCGATATAATTAGTCCTCAGTGGGCACCCATAGGAAATGAATGGGAAATACTATAATTCAGAGCATTTTTAATTTGACTAAATGTAGTATTACTTTTAGCTAGTACATTTTTAACCAACCATCTTTATTTGTCATTTTATAATTACTTTACTGTTGTCTTTGAAATTTGGTTAAAGTGTACTACTGAATGTACCGACAGGTGTTAATGGTAACTAAAATATTCTCAAAATCATATACTATGTCAAAATGACCTGACTTATGTATTTCTATTGAAACCGAAATTATGCATGTAATGATTACATTTTAAATATATTTACTTTAAACGTAATATTCACTAAAACTACAGTTACAATTATAATCAAGTACTCTACATGTGCTTTAGTATTTTAGTCATCACATCGAAATAAGTACTTCTTTAAAACAAGACAAACGATTATTGAAATAAAACATTTTTTTACTTTAAAGTAAAACAGAATTTGACTTTTTTAAAATAACATAGTCATGTAGTTTCTTTAGATACTTCTTTAAAATTGTCATCAGCAAGTACGGTTTTATAAAATACTTTTAAAAATACTTTTAAGATTTGAAGTACACTGCAAGTATATATTCAGTACAGTGAAGCACACTTGTTTTTCAATTGGGAATGAATGATTTTAAGGACAGAGGAAGAAATCTATAGATTATTCTCCAATTAAAACCAAGAAAACATGCTTTACCTGAAAGAAAAAAATGAATAAACACCTAGAATATTTCTAAATAAATTACCAGTTTTGAACTTCAAATGGGGACAAAATTTACTGCATAATGGAAAAGACCCGGTGTTTGTAGATTTGAGACTCCTTTGTTTTCTCTCTTTCTTTCACTGTTATTCCCATATTCCCGTCACATCCTCAGCCACAATTTCCACCACATTTGTGTGCTCTTTAACACATCTTTATCTTTCAAATGCCATTCCCATTCCTCTTTTCCACCAAGCCTGCATTCCAGTCCAGAGGCTTCTCTCTCCAGCACATTGTACATAAAACCCTTATCAGTCTTCAGTACTCTGTCTTTCTCTTTCTCTCCCTCCCCCTCTCCTCCCTCATTCCAGTCCTCTAGAGGAACATTGTTTCTCTTGCCATGTTTTAGAGCGCCTGGTACTCCGAATCTACTGCAAAGCCTTATGTAAGTCGCCCTCCCTTATCGTGCGTTCAAACGTCACCCTCCATCTCAGTCCTCCCTCCTCCACCCTTCCCGAGAAGCATGGGCGGTAGTCCGGCGGATCGCATTAAACGGCCACACGTGTAATCTCGGAGGGTTAGGACTGTGTGCGATCTTTCTCGGCTCGCCACAGGAACGTGTCAAAGATCTGGACAGATCCGGTGAAGCCGTGCTAATGTGTTGCTGTGAGCGCTGGGGCGGAAGTGTAGGATTTGCTGTATGATTTGAACTCTGCTCTGCTGACTACTTAATAGTGGGCTTGTTTTGCGGTTGCAGGACATCGGGCGGGGGAAGAGCACTAGAGCACTATGCAGCTTCACTTACAGCTATGGGAGGAGGAGGAGGAGGAGGGGGGTGATGAAGGTGTGGAGAAAGTGAGATACGGAGGGTGGGGATGTGAATGAAAGAGGGGGCTGAGGAGAGGATGTGAAATTCAGTGAGAGTGACTCGAAGACGGAGCGAAGGCGTGACGTTTTGACTTAATGTGACAGCAAGAGAACATGTTGGTTCAGTGGGACATAAACAGCGGGAGGACAGACTGAGCGCTGAGGGGAGTTTAAACTATTTTGAAAGAAATGTTTATGGGTACACTGTGGGAAAAAGATTTTTCGAACTTGTAAATAAAACATTATTTTAGCGTATGTTTTACAAGAAAATAGTGTTTGTAAACCTAAAAACTGAAAGTTTAATTTAATATGTGGCTTGCCATTTCTTTGTAATTATTTACAAGCAATTTCTGAGTGAAAATTGTTTCTAAATTTTTGTTTTTGTTTTGTTTGAGTACAGTAATTATTGTTGTTAAAAAAATCAGATGTCAGCAGATTTAGATAATTGCATTTACTCTAATATTTCTGGCAGTGAATATTAAAACTCTGTAAATACACATTCAAAGGTTTGTGGCTGATAATTTCAAATGTTTTTCTTATTTGGTCAAAATGTGGTACTTTTATTATATATATTTATATTATATATTTTAAAATATGTATTTATTTGGTGTAATATGTGCTGATTTGGTGATCAATAATTTCTATTGAATTATATATATATATATATATATATATATATATATATATACAGTGGGTATGGAAAGTATTCAGACCCCCTTCAATTTTTCACTCTTTGTTATATTGCAGCCATTTGCTAAA